GACCAATCTTATTAGATACTTATCAACATGACAATCTGTCTACATTAGTGTATTCATTCAAAATGTCAATTTTCTTGTGTCTGAAACCTACAAACCTAAAGGTACTTCAGCACCATGCACAACAAACCTTCAGACATTTCTTTAAAGACACTATATAAAGTTTCTGAGTTGATTTGGGAATTTTTTAATACTTTATAACTGTCAGAAAACTAAGTCAGTAATCAYTGACAAAGTTTAATTTTAGCTCAGAAATGTGTCTAGAATTTGAAAAACTAGCTGCACACAGTTGCAACAGTAATAAACAAAATCCTTTTATTATTGTGGGAAAAAAAACATTTCAGAAAACTTACCTTCCTCGCAATACAGCCCAGAGTAGCTTGGCAGACAGATACAGGTGAAAGATGTTAGCCCATCAATACATGTGCCTCCATTGCGGCATGGGTTTGATTGACATTCATCAATTTCTTTGTGTAGACAAAAAAAAAAAAGTTAGCAATGTCATTCCAGGAAGAAATAACACTTAAAAAGTATTAGGAAGGATCATCCTACCTGTTTCACACTGATGACCCGTGTAACCAGGAGCACAGTTACATGAACAGACGCTACTACCGCTCTTGTAGCAAGATCCTCCATTCTGACAAATGTTGTCTTTGCATAAATTAATTCCTGTTAAAAAGATGTATTCTGAGCATGAAGGCGTTTTTATTTATTTATTTATTTTTTACTTCAATAAAAGTTATTACAACAAACGTACCAGGAATTTCCACAGTCTCGCCAACCACTGTATGTCCCAAAAGTCCTAAGGCAGCTGGCGTTGATGTGTCTTCTTCTACTGTTAAGGGTGTACTTCTAGTATGGGATGGGTGTGCTGTTAAGTTATTATGTTTCCCAACTTCCTTGGGAAAAGATGAAGCTGTGGTTGATAAAGATGTATGATGTGTTGATGATGTAGTGAACTCTGCATGGGTCCTTCTGGTAGTTACACTGTCATCTTTTTTGGTTTTGTTCACAGCTGTCTTTCCCCCAATGGTATGATTAATTCCAGTAATTGTTATCACTGAAGATGCCGTTGTATTTACCTTGAATACAGTCTGGATTTCATCGGGTGACAGAGTTTTTTCTTTAGCTTTGCCACTCTCAGGTATTGTTGTAGTTATCTGCTTTCTGGAGACATTATCAGAGCTGCCTGGATCACTTTTTGTTGTTGTAGTAGAGACAAATGGCAGTTTAGTCATGMCTGATAGAAACTTAGAGGTAAGGTTTTTACCCTCATCAGAGTCCTGTTTGGCAGTGCTTGTTGTGATTATGCTCTTCCATGAGCTACTTTCAACATTGCTTAATGGTGGGGAAGAAGGCTCACTCTTGGTGGTTTGGGTAACAGATTCTATTATAAAATTACCCACAGGGTCTGTTGTTGACTTTGTGGTTTCACTGTGGTGAGGAACAGATTCAATAATGTTAGGGTTTCTCACAATATCTGGAGATGGATAGTCAGTGTGAAAAAAGTCTGGGAAGACTGGTCTTTGGCCATCTGGATCATAAGATTGTTGAATCTTTGATCGAACTGTGCCATTCGATTTCAAGCCATCTTGAACAACAGCTGGCTCTGTAATCAGACTTTTTTCATCACTTTCAGAAGCAGGGTAATTTGTGGAGAATAATATTTCCTGAGAGGAAAGGTTAGTCTGAGGGTGGTGTGTTAGAGTGATCTCTGACCTCACTTGTTTAACTGACTCCTGGGAAGTTGCGACAAGGTACAAAGGGGAATCAGTTGTGTCAAATTGGACAATATTTTCAGGTTCTGTGGAATTTGAGATGACATTTGAAGATACTTCTAAGGAAATGTGTGTAATTGTTGTTTTAGGTTTCTCTGTGCTAGAAAGGGATGAGCCTGTATTCTTTATAGTACCTGTAGATACACTGTCAACAGTGGCTGAACCATCATCTGAATCATCATGTACTTTGTAATATGGATCTACTGAGGGAAAAGTACTATTCGGAGCTGGCTTAGCTGGATTTTCAGATACTGGAGAGGAAAATGTTACTGATTTGATTAATAAAGGTTGAGGGGTTGATGATAAGACAGGTGAAATTGGGAAACTATCATCAGAATGGACCTCAGGAGATGCCATTGTCCTAGGCGTTTTATTGCGCAAAGATGCTTCATCATCAGTGTATTGGAATTGCGTTGTAYTTGACACATTTGTGTGTTTCTCAAAAGAGTGTGGTCTAACTTTAGTTGGCTCATTGAAAGAGGCATCAGATTTCATATCATCTATTAAAGAATCTTCTTTAACGGTTCCACCATTTAGTCTATTAAAGTAAGTCTCTGTGCTGGTCATCCTGAGAGGTTGGGTGGAAGACACACTGACTGTGTCTGATATACTCTCACTCATGGTATCTGTTTCACCCTCATCTGTTGCAATGGAGTATTCACCCTGGGACTTTGTGGTCAATTCAATGAAGCCTGCTCCAATTGATGTTTGAATAGTGAGTTTTTCAGGGCGTGTTACTTTCACAAACTGGGGCATAGACATTGTTTGCATTCTCAGGGTAGTTTCATCTGTGTATCTAGATGTTTCATCTCCTGAGTACTCTGAATCACCTAAATGATCACCCGAGTGATCAGCGGAGCTATCACCTGAGCTATCATCTGAGCCACTGCTTTCAAATTCATTTGCTGAAATTTTTGTTGAAACTGGAGACACGTTTCTCATTAACTCAAATGAGGATTGGGTTGATGATTTTACACCAGGTTGTGATGTAGTCTGAGTCAATTGTACCTGGCTTTTATCTGTTGCTGTGGGAAATGCGACATTGCTCAAAGTTTGGTTGAAAGCATCAGTTGGTACTGATGTTGACTGGTCTGTAATGGAGAAAGAAGAAATAATGGATACAGAAGGTGGTCTTACAGTAGAAGTGAACATGTCTGGAGTTTTAATCCAGGTATCCTCCTTATCCAACTTGGAGGATGAAACTATTTTTGATTTTTCAGTGGTGTACACAGATGTAGTCAGGTTTACAGTTGAATCTAAAACTCTTGCASTTGGTGCGGATGTAAATTTCTCTGTGCTTAACACAAAAGAGGTAGTAGCTGTTTTAATTGGTTCCACAACTCGATGCACTGTTGACAACAAAGGCTTGGCTATCAGTAATTTTGATAATGTCTTATGTTGTGTAACTGAGGGAGGCAGTGTAGAGGATTGAGACGCTCTACTGGTTAGTGAGGGTTTCTCTGTCAGAGAAGACATCACTGTTTCATATGTTTCAATTCCTACTGTAGACATACGTGACTCTGCTGGTTGTGTCTCAAAACTGTTCAAAGAAGACACTTCTCTCGATAAAGAGTCCAGGGTAACAACCTCTGGAGTTTCTTGTGAGCTGTTAGGCACAGTAACTGACTGGCTGCTTGGTACCACAACTCCATACATTGTTGGATGCAAAGGTTTGCTTATCACTGGTTCAAATAATGTACTTTTCTGTGTATGCATAGGAGGTGTTGTAGATGAAAAAGACGCAACAGTGTTAGAGTTCGAAATACGAGATAAATATTCACTGGTATGGAACAAATTAGAGGACTGATTATCTGAATTGTTTTTAACTGAATCTTTACCTTGGGATGTAACTGAGACTTTGTCAGTATTGCTAGTGAAAGAAGCGGATTCCTGTTCAGTGAAACCTGACATAGATTGTGCTGAGCTAACAACTGATGGAGCTGAAGGTGTTCTTGTAGAATCACTTAGTTGAGAAATGTCTGATCCTATAACTGTTGGTGACTTTGTACTCAGTGTTGAATGACCAGATGYTGTCAATGAGTGGTCAGTGAAATCATCTTTCTGTACTGAAGTATCTGTATTGTGGGTAATTGAGGAAATTGAGGCTATTGTTGGCTCATCTGTGACAATGCTGTAATAATCCTCAGAAGTTGGTTGTGTTGACTTCTCTGTGCTGAAAAATGAGGAAACTGTAGAAGACACTGCATCTTTGGTTGAAATCTCACTTGTCTTATCATCGGATGTCTCTGAATATAATTTTGTAGAAGATGACACGTCTGGTGTAACCGACTCTTTCTCCAATTTGCTTGTGACAAAGGTCATTTGCTGTACAGTGAAACCTGACATTGGTTGCGCTGAGCTATCGACTGATGATGCTGAAGAGACGGGTGTTCTTGTAGTATCACTAGGTTGAGAAATTTCTGATCCTATAATTGTTGGTGACTTTGTACTCAGTGTTGAATGATCAGTAGATGCTGTCRATGAGTGGTCAGTTAAATCATCAGTGCTTGGACTCTCAGTCTCTGCCTCTGTGGAGATTAGGATGGATGCTGTTTCAGGTTTCATAGTTGAGCCAGTAAAGAGTAAAGTGGAATCTACAAATGTAGATTGACTTTTAAAATCATCCTCTTTTGCAGTTGAAGAAGTGGATGATGTAACAGGAGACACACTCAGAGATATACTTGGTGGGCTTGAGGCTGTACTATCAGATGCTGGAGAAACCATTGRTTCCTCTGTCAGAGACGGCACTAATGTTTCCTTCAATTCTCTTCCCTCTGTAGTCCTAGATGACTCTGCTGGTGGCGTCTCAGTAGTGTACAGAGTGGATGATGCTTCTCCTGAAGTAAACATGTCTGGTGTTTGGCTTCCTGAA